TGCTTTCCTCGCCTAGGCTGCTAGGCTCTGCCCGTCCCTTCCTGCCCCTGAAGGAAGGGGCTCTAAGCCCGCTCCTTAAGTGCCCCCTTTTTAAGGGGGGAGGGCGCGACGGTGAGCAGCCGCCTCCCCACCGCGTGCGAAAGAAAGCAGCCGCTATGCCCGGGGTGCGGTCGCCGCAGCCAGGCTGGCTGGCAGGCAGGCAGGCAGGTCGGTCGGCCGGCCGGCCGACCGGCCTACTACCTGCCTGCCGCTAGTTCGCCTGGGCGGGGAGGGAGCGCGCCAGTGCCCGTGTGTGCGTGCGCGTTTGCCTGTCTGTAAGTGAACGCGTCTCACCCATGAGGATGCGCATCTGCTTCTTGCCGAAGAGGCGCGAGAAGAGCGAGGAGATGGTGAGGCCCATGGCGGCTCGGGGCTGGGCGGAGGCAACAGCGGCGCAAGGAGCGAGCGGCCCGAGCGCGAAGGCGGCGGCGGAGAAAGCAGAGGCAGCGACTTGGGCCCGGTCCCTCCTCCTCCTCCCTTTCTTCTCCCCGCTCGCTTTTCTCCTCTGTCGGATCGCGCTCCCGCAGGGACGTCTCCAGGAACGAGCAGGCGAGGAGAGGCTTCGCTGGCGTCCGCTGGCTGAAGCGCTTCTGTGTCTGGGGAGCCTGCTTTGCGCTCGCTCTTTTCTTCGCTCTCGCTCGCTCACTCGCTCTCTGCCACGTCACGGCCGCCCGGCTCCAACGCGGACAAAATCGCGTCACGCCCGCCACATCCTCACCGCGGAACCACCCCCACGAACCTTCCACCAGGCCCCTGTAGGAAGACTACGACTCCCAGGGTGTCCATCGCCGGCAGCAGCCTTACGGGCTTGAGTTTTGCCACCCCACGGCACGACGGGAAATGTAGTTTTAAGTAGACCTTTTGACCTCGTGCGCGCGGCATGCTGGGAAGTGTAGTAACTTTTTTTTTTTTTTTAAGGGCTGAGCTTTCCTTCCGTCTGTTCTTCTGTGTGTGACGGCATGGTTTCCCCACAGCCTAAGGCCTAGCTGTACTCAGGATGTCTTGAGCAGAGAGAATTGAAGGGGTAGTAGCACTCAGGCCCATTTCCCACAGACAGCACCGATGTGGTGACAAAATTATGCTTATCTGTACACTTCTGTGTGCAGGTGAGGCCTCATTTGAGGGGAAAGGAAAGAGTGGAAGTCCCATATAAAAAAGATGTTAGTGAAAGGATTAGTTCTCCCACACAGATTTCTTTTCTAGCTACAGGAATAGATAGATGGATATGGTCTGGAGAGGACCTGGGAGCTGCTGTACAAGGTCCGAAGAGGCATTATATTGCATTTATATCCTGCCATTTCCAGTTTATCCTCACAACTGCAACACTCATGCGAGGTAGGTTGCACTGAGAATGAGTGACTAGCCCACAGTCAGCCAATGAATTTCATGCTGAGTGGGGGCTAGACCACTGATCTCCCAGGGCCACAGCTGAACCACCACTCCAAGTGTTGGAGATCAAACATGGACTTACCCCCTCATTAGCCCCTTGTGAAAAGCAGGTCATATCATAGCACAGGGACCAATCTTGTGACCTGCTAAAATGTTAAAATGCTCAGAGATGCTTCCTAGCAGAGGGGCTATCACTTATTGGCCAAAAGACACTGTACCAGCTATTACTAATTTAACTGATTTTTCTAATAAGAAAAAAGACAAGTGGTAGGAGAAAAAAATGGAACATGTTTGGAATGAAACAACAGGTTGCAAAATATACACACCCCAATAGAATTCTTGAAATGAGGCGGTGTGGTTACACAATAACTGTCAATAAACAGCTCATCTGGGGATTCTGCTGGAGCAAAATCTGCTTTTTTCAAAAATAATTTTTGCTTATTTGGAAGGACTTGTAAGCATCTTGAACACAAATTCCATGCTGCCGCCCCCTCCATAAAACATATCACCGATAATAAATCATTTCAATTTTCTGTAAGGATAAGATATTTTGATTTTTTGGGAAAATGGCACTTGTTTACTTCTCAAGTCACTCTCCTTTATAACATTGCCTGGAAATGAAGAAGTTAGATTCTTACATAATAAAAACCACTCCAGTTCAAGTGTACTCTATAGATATTGGAACTAAGGCTAGGTAATACCTCTAAGGCCATGAAACCTGTCGATTGGAATTTAGAATTAATTTTTGAGGGAGCATATCATTAACTACTATTCTGCATTTAGCACTCATGTTCATGTACAGAAAATAAAAATATCTTAAGCTTAATCCAAAACTGACTTATTCAGGAGTCCCGGTGTGTTTGGATTGCTGCACCAACACTGAAATTCACAGAAAAATCCATACAATTATAAGTCATTCATTGTTCAAACAAATTAAAATTCAGAAGTCTTAGATCTGTGAAGAACAATGAATGTTTGCAATTACATAAGAATTGCAGTGCATAATACAAACTCTAAAACTTATAGACTTCATTCTGTAGGACTGTGGAAGCTTCAACCTCATGGCTTCCATGCAAAGGCCAGACTAGCCATGAAGAAAAATGAGCCAACTATATTTTCCGTTAATGATTCATAAGTGAGGTCACTGCAATTAGAGTAAAAGGGGCAGGTCCATTCTGTTTCTCCACTTTGGTAATGGAGCTGGAGAAAGGATAAAAGTTCCTGTTCTTTACCTACTCATGCATTTTCAAGCCTTTCACCAGTCAATAGGCCAAAAAACACACAAAAAAGTGGTGGCTTCTAATTTACAAAACACTCCAGAGTAAGAGTGCTCTGTAATCTGGTCCTAACATTGTCATCTTTTCCTCTACATGCTAGACTGATCCTTTCCCAGACATTGACAGTGTATGGTTTTTAATGGGTCCTTGGATTTTGGTTGTTGAAAATTGTTCTATTTTATATGATACCTTTATGATACTAATATTGCATGTCATGGACTTCCATTTTTGTAAACTGCCCAGAATGCTTTGGTTGTGGTGTGGTACAGAAATTCAGTAAATGAAATTAAATATACCAGCTAAAACCTGTGACATGTTGCATTATGGTGTGCTCCAGTTCAGTGTGCCAGCCAACCATGGGGTCTTTCAAAGAGTGCCATTTAATGTTTTCCCCCTCAACAGGGAGTCAGGATGCCCCTACTCAGTCCTCATTAAGATGTTTAGGGCTGTCATTACCACCCGTTCCACAAGTGTGTCCTTAAGTTTTTGATATATTTCCCCAAACAGGACTAAGTACTGTAGCTAGGAACTAACATAGTTTTAAGTGTTTGCTTCGTGGTGGGGTAGTTGGTTGGTTATGGCCTTGAGTTGATAAATGGATTGCACTCTGGAGGATACCTGAGATGACCCAAAGCTTTCTCACTCCATACAGGGGAGCAGGAGTCAGCCCCTGGGCTAGAACTCACCTTCCCCACAGCCAAAATTAGGTAGTGCAGTGGCGGGGGTGGGGGGGGGAGCTCATTCTAAGAGAAAAGCAACTGTAGCAGTAGAGTAACTGGGGTTAGTTTGCACACCCAAGAAAATGGTATACCTTGAATACAGAGCTTTTTTCATATAAGAATATCTGCTTTACTCTGTGCAAAATTAAATTCTGCACTTAGGAAGCACCACTGGAGCAGGAACAAAACCTCCCAAACATTAGGACTCTCTTCTTGGAAGCTTTAGTCTAGTCAGTCTTTTTTTTTTTACTTACCTGAATTGAAAATATTTAGTAGTCTTGCTGCGATGAAGCACATGCTATCTCATTACTTCTCCTAAAGCCAGAAACAACTTTGAATTTTTGCTTTAGGTCACTGTTTTGGTATAAGGCAGCTTCCTCAGGTGTGATATTATGGTAACGGAAAAGGGCACCAGAGATAACTGAACAAAAATAGATTTGTGGTGCTGCTGGATCATTTTGTAGCTGACAGTTGCCAAGCAAAAGACAGGCAGGCTGTCTGCCAGCACAGCACAAGGCAGGCGAAAACACATTTGGCCTGCCTGGTGCTGTTTCAGTGTTCTTCTCTTTTGCTTGATGGTTCCCACCAACCACTGTCTTAATATTTTATTGATATAAATTTCAAAAGAGTTTTAGTAAACTTCAGCTACTTGTTATTGTATTCACATCCCTTTTCAAACACAACAGACATATCAGGATCCTTGCAGTACAGTTGGTAGTCGGGACTCTACTGAACAAATTGCATGATCTTAGAATTAACCCAGACTGGTTACCTGTATTTCAAGTTGGGAGACAGACACACAAAAGCATGTAACTGATTAAAGAAGTTACAGATCAAATACAGGCTGAATAGAATTCTAATACTTTTCCTGGAAGCTGATTATTTGTTTTTCTTAATTAGTGGATCCTCTTAATATGTGTTTGCTAAAAATTTTCATGAAAGCATAATTTTCACTTGTATTTATTTCAAATTCCTTTTTAAGATAAATTCTCAATCCAAAATGCCAAGCGCTTTCATAATAATTGATCAAAAGTGTAACCCATATCAGTGTGAAACACTGTAGCATCTAAAACATTCTCACCTCAACCCACCCCCCTTTATTTTGGGTAATTGCAGTAAACTTACTGGAGTATGTATAGATTCCATTGCATGCATGCATGTGTGCTAAAATGCAAGGGGACAAAGCTAGGAAAGCAGCACAAAACCAAGGCAGTTGCACCTGAAAGGGATTGCAAATCCTGATTCTAGGCTTTTTTGATACAGAAATAAATCAATCAGTTCAGTGACATAGCGCACACAATTTTGAATATTTAGACAGAAAAAATGTCCAATACCAGTATAACTCACTGGGGAGTGTTGGGCATTTTAGGACTTTTTTGTCTAAACATTCACACAACTGTACCCTTACTTCAATATGAGCATGCACTGGATTTTATCCACACTATTTATGCTTCACCTTTTTGGAATAGTCACCGTGAGAATATTAAGCAAGAATGGAATGCTACAATGTACTGGACAGTTTCAAATTTTCCACTCTATTTCAGGGTCTTTACTGAATAAACATGAACAAAGTTTCTGTAAAAGTGAAATTTATTTCCTTTAAAAAAATACATTTTGAAAATAAGCTAATGTAGCTAGTTCAAATGTACTATGTAATGCTTCAGTTAATGAAGATTTAGTGGCCATATTTTTTAAAAAATGCTACTCTTCACCTGTGCAAAACAATATTTATTAGCTATTTATGCAATAGTGGCATAATTGCAGAAGCCAGCTTTTATACAGTTTAATTTTAGCTTCTGATTTGGAATTCATCTTAAGTGAATATTTAAAATATATCTTAAAATGCAGAGGGCAGTCTATAGCTAAAATTAAGGACTCAAAATAATAGTGCATTATAGTATACAAAGGCAGTTTTCCACAACAGGCCTGTAATGGATGATTATGTTTCATCCAAATGAAGAAATGTTTAGGAATAGTAATCACTGTGTTGATCAAGCTTCTGCATTTATGTTCCTCACAGTACTATACACACAATATAGGTACACATTACAATAGGTATAACATAATTGGAATGATTCCTCCAATTCCTATTACATACAGTTATAAAATTCTTGCATTCTCATATTCTAAAGAAGTTAAACATTTAGCAAAAATAATTTATTGCCAATGAGAAATGGCTCATTATGAATATTTATAGTATACACACTGAATGGGTTCGTATGACAACAACCTATTGATGATAACAAGCCACAGTGAGTTGTCAGGTCACCAGGACTCCGACTGCATTCCACAGGATGGAGTTTCCCCTTTATTTTTTCAGAAACAGGCCATCTGGACAATCCATTGCTTCTTCTAAGGATTGTTCAATGCACAATGGGTTGTTACGTCATCTGAACCTAGAGAGCAATTTCACTGAGGGTAGTGAGACCCTTGGCCAAGTGGGAAAAGCCACTGCTGCTCTTGCCCCTTGCCACTACTAGTGACAGCCCATGTACTAATGCTCAAGCAACACCTGAAAGCGACTGTCACAGGCTACCACCCTTAAAAAAATGTCCCTTGCAAATTTTGCAAATCTGTTCATAATTTTTTATTATTGTTGATCTTTCTCAAATGTGCTTTTCTGCCTGTCCAATATGCATAGTCTTGCCCAGTCACTTTCCTTGTCTGTTTCAGCTGTTAAAAGGAATAATGAAGTGGGGCAGAAACTGCAGCAAGTAAGTGCTCTGAAGAAAAGGTACAGGGGATGAGGAAGTTCCCTTCTCTTTCCAGAATAGCTGGAAGTTCATGGAAGAATTGGAAAGGTAGAGCACACTAAGAAGTGTCAGTTCAACACATATAACTGAGAAAGTTACATTGCTAATGAGGAACTACTGTCACCCCTTTTTGGTGCAGCTCCTTTCACCTCTTTTTTCCCTTTACCCATGTTTTTCAAGTGCCAAGGATCTATTGCATAGCTGTCAACTCCACTAATTAGCCTAGATGCAGTCTTATCTTACCAGTTTCCATGTATGTTATCTACTTGCCAGTTCCTTTGACAACTAAACAGGCAAGAAAACTAACCAGGCAAGGCTACTTGTATCAAACAGTGCTTAAGAGCACACTTGCAGAAGACTAACAAAATAATATTGATTTTTAAAAGTTCTAAACATAGTTGCACTATTTGCGGGGCTGAAAAAAAAGATAAATACAGTTCCAATTGTGCTTTTGTGAGGCTCCAAAAATACACAATACTGTTGATTGAAAAGGGATAGTGATCAGAGTGGAGAGGAAGAGACAAGATGTTACAGAGGACACTGGTGTACCTGCCAAAGGATGGTGGTGGGGGTCAGGAGGGGGAGAACAAGCCACAGTGAGCTTGAGCATCCACTGGCTGTACCATGGGTTGTTCTATGAACAATCCACACTGCATAGCTTAGTTGCAGGCTGGCTTAATGTGTTATGCAAATGCAGCTACTGTAAGCTGCAAAATACAAAAGCCATCCCTAGAGAAATATAAGTAATACAGATTAAAATAGCCTCCTTCTTACATCACATTTCATTAAAGAAAGTTAACCCCCAAAAAACTTTAAAAACTTTAAAAACTGGGAGGTATAGTGATTTAATGCTATTTAGTGTTTCTATAGCAGCTATGAAATATATTTTTCACTAATTTAATCTAGTAAGGACAAGCTATGTATAAAAACCTGTTTCTGCATATAACCTGTCATTTTGGATTAGCCCCACAAAGCACAATATGGTGGAAGAAAATGAAAAGCTACATATTGAAAATACTGAACGGATAGGTAGCCCATTCTCAAAATGACCATACATAAGAACACAAAGTCTTTCAGAAACCTCTATTTACACACTGTAAGGATGTGATCCTATGAACTATACCCTCCCTACTCAGAATCCTGGGAACTCGGAGGCTTTCAAGGTTTCTGTGTCCTGCCAAGCTGAAGCTGGCAGAGTGGGAGGAGAAGCAAAAGCAATCTTTGACTCCCTGTTCTCCAGTCTCCTTTCTTTTCACTAGACCACATTTCCACCTGTCTAGTGAGGGCACTTCCATGTGGGAAGGAAGGAGAAAGCTCAGGACAAACGGTAACCTGGCCTTTCTGGTCTCCTTTCCTCCCTACCCACTTCCTCTCCAAGGCTTATTTTCAGATCTTGGAAAGACAGCCAGAATACTTCTCTCTACTCTTGCTGGGCGTTGGATCTCTTGACTCCCCCTTGTGATGTCAGAGCACTGTCTCTGTATGTGGAATATATTTTATGAGCCATGGGATGCCTGCTCAAGATTGCTCTCTAACAGATGATTAATGATGTCAGAAGAAACTGCACCACTTATATACTTGGCACAAGGAAATAGAAATGATGTTTTGGTAAAGCAGCTGGTTTTATGTTCCCCAATGCCTATAGCAAGTCAGATGTTTTTGCTGCTACTATTCTTATAACACTACCACGGCACATGACACTTCACAAAGAACAGGTATGTCAGATCCCTGCCTCATGGGACTTACAATCTAAATCAGACACAGGGAAACAACAGAGGAAGTGCAGAGGAAACAGCACTGTAAGTAGAGGAAGATAATGTGATTATTTCAATTGCACATACTTTGTCTTTGTTACAGTTGGGTATACGGATTAGGAGGATGATCCACAGGCTTTCTGGAAAAGGTGAGCTTTAGGAGTACTGCTGGGAGGCAACTGAAAATTAGATTCAGTCAATCTTTGAAATTTGAATTTTAGCTCTGCAATTTAAAATTAAGATTTAGCATGGTACAACAGTTCATGAACTTTGATGAGAAGCACCTGCTTAATTAGCTCCAAACCTTAAAAATAAGGGAGGGAATAATGCTATATTTTTCTAGCAACTAATGGAAAGTGTACAATCTGTGAAAAATGTAATTGGTTGTAAAACAACTTCTTTATAGTTTAGCTAATCAATATCCATGCTAGAAACAGATTTGTTGCCAATAAGTAGTAGTTTTGCTGTGTCAAATCATCTCAGGTGTCCCAGAACTGATGTGATCTGGAGCACACTCCCCGTTCTTTTCCTGCTACTCATTAGGGACAGTATGTTTTCCCTACCATCTAATTAAGGTAACTTCAGTCCCCTGGGATATTTCAATTCGTAACCGATGTGTACATCTAACTTCCCAAATTGGGAACTTGAAACCATGGGTAGATATGGGTGTCAGTTTATGGTTACAGTCTCCAATCTGGGGGGAAATTATGGTTAGAAGCAAGCATAGCTTTTACAGGTGAAATACAGCAGACTATAGTTAGTGGATGGACCCAAGGAATTCAGCGCAACAAGGGGAGGAATATGTAAGCCCAAAGGGATGCTCCTAAATCCTTAATCATGGTTTGAAGATACCTGCCATGATGTCTGAACTAAACTTCAATGTTTTGTGGACTGCCATTTGAAACTTTAATGAAAAGTAAAATATCAAAAGGACAGACTGGGGAGCTGCTAGCTTGACCTTAAGAGTGATAGTCTTTGAAACTAACCAGAATATTGCTTCCCCTGAGTTTCAGAAAATTGGGCAGAGCACCACCAGTTTCAGAAGTTTTGGAATGCCTGCACTATGGGCCTGTATTTAAAAGTTTAAGATTTTCAATAAGAGCACTTAGTTTTAAACATAATTAACAAGCATCTTTTTGTTTCCTCTGTATTCAAGTTGAACTTCAATGGACATTTTAAAAAGTATAACTTTAGAAATATAAACATGAAGTGATTCCATTGCAGTCTATTTTTCAGATCTACTGTTCTCTGTTTCTCTGAGAATACCTGCTTTATACTTTTGAAATATGTGATGTGGTGCATCTGGCTGTATGAACATCCAGTTAGTCATACTGAGCCAGTTTTGTTCAGGATACCCTGTAAATCTTCTGGCTGTGCAAGAATAATTGAATCAATGTGCCTCCGTAACTTTTCCATAGTGCCAGGTTTCACAGGTAAATTTTCTCCATCCGTCTGTAACCAGAGAAAGTGCAATTAAAAATCTATGTTAATGTTCAGCAATCAGTGAGAATTCAGCAGTCATTAAAACAATCATCAGTGATGTATCTGACATTCAAACTGTCCTACTAAACAGCTTCATTAACATTAGTGTAAGCATGGAATTCACATGCAACTGAGCTAAAAAGTTCTTTGTATATTCCAGATTCATATAAGGTCAGTTCAGAATGCAGTTAGGCTTGGAACCTTCTCCCTGAGTGTACTGGCATCTCTTGATTTTGATTATTCATAGAAACCTCTAATTATTCTCTGAAAACTTTAAGTGAGAATTCTTTATAGCTAGTCAGAAAATTTCATATCATATCCAACATGTTCATAGTGGAAAATTCTTTAATATTTTCTAAGAATGATTTGAGGTAGCCCACCCAGATCCAGGCAACTAACAGACGAATAGCGGAATATGACTCTCAGAGTACACCAGACTGGAGGCACAGCTATCTAACTGAACATTCTGTTCCAAAAGTGGCAAGCCAAATGCCCATGGAAAGGACACAAGCACACACTGCTTTTGTTTCCCTGCAAATAGTATTCAGAGACATACATCCTCTGATGCTGAACATTCCCAGTAGCCACTGATAACCTCCTTGAATTTTTGAGTTTTAGAACTGTCCAGCTGATCACACTGCATCACAGAGCAAACTTCATTGCAGAACAATCTCCTTTTACCTGTCCTGAATCTCCCACCATCCAGCTTAATTGGATAACCCCAAGTTCTAGTATTGTGAGACTGAGAAAATTTCTTTCTGCCTACTTCCTCTATATCATGCATATTTATATTTACCTCTACTATGTCCCCTTTGCTTGCCTTTCTTCTAAGTCAAAAAGCTTTAAATCTTTCATTACAGGAGAATTTATCAAGCCCCTTAATACTTTTTATATGTCCTTTTCTGTCCCCCCACTGCCACACTAAAATTTCAATTTGAGATGCATCAAGCATAACTGCACACAGCATTCCAAGTCTGGCTGCACTACGGACTTGTGAAAGACCATTATGATGTTGGCAGTTTCAGTTTTGATTCCTAATGATCCCAAATGTGATATCTGCCTTTTTCACAGAAGCTGTGCTCTGGGGCGACTTTTCATCAAGTTGCCGACCACAGCCTCAAGATGATTTTTCTGGTCACTCACCACAGCCAGCTCTTTTAGCATATACATGAAGCTAGGGCTTTTTTTTTTTTTTTTTTGCAGAAGTCAGCATCAATTTACACTTGCTTACACTGAACCATATTTGCTATTTTAAAACCTATTCCCCTAATTTGATGAGTTCTTTTTGGAGCTTGTCATGATTTTCCAGGTCAGTCAATGCCAGCTCACATCCCATTAGCATATGCATGAAGTTAGGGCTTTTTGCACCAGTCAGCAACACTACACTTGCTTACATTGAACCACATTTGCTACTGCTGTCCCCTCACAGTTTGGCAAGTACTTTTTGGAGCTTTTCATGATGGCTTTCTGTTTGAACCTTATGAAATAATTTGTTGGCATGTGCAAGCTTGGGCACTTCACTGCTTGCTCCTAATTCACAGCCTTTATGAACAAGCTAAAAAGTATCAATCCCAATAAAGAGATGCTTCTGTTACATCCCCTGCATTGCAAGAACTACCCTTCATTCTTATGCTCTGCTCCCTGATCCTTAACATGTGCTAAGCCTGGTGTAAAACCATGTTGTCACTGCTTCGCAAGATACCCACATGCTCTTCTTCTCCAGGAGTAACCTGTATGCCACTGCCCAGAGAGTCCTACATAGGACTATGGATGACTTTTATAAATGTAATAAATAAATAGTTCCCAGGGCAATTGTCATGTCTAAGGCACAAAGATACCAATGGGGAGCGATAGGTCAGCTGCAACCTGGGCATTTTTATAAAGACTACCTATATGGGAAGGGCCATTTCCCTCTGAGACAGAGTCCAAGCTTTGCTTGCAAAAGGTCAGAAATTCAATCACTGACATGTTCAGGTAGGACTGGGATAAACCACTGTCAGTCATTACAGATATTGCCCCCATTTCCCACTTGATACCCTTGCTCGGACTCCAGGTCCCAGAATTCCTGACCATTGGCCATGGTGACTAGGGCCGATGTGAGTGGAGGTACAAAGCATCTGGAGGGCACCAGCTTGAAGATTGGTGTAAACAATACTGAGCTAGATGGACCCAGTATAAAGCAACTTGCTCTGTTTCTATTTTAATCAGACAGGTACTTCCTGCTCTATGTAAGGGAGAAATTTTGAGCCAATGGACACAACCACCAGGGAGAGCTACTAACAACAACCATATTATTCTGCAAGGATACATACAGAAATGATGCACCTTTCTAGTCTTAATAACTCAGAAGAATAGTTGCCTATAATTGCTGGAAGGTAAAAAGTATGATCTTTTGGAGATTGCAGTGAAATTGTTACCAAAAAAGAAGGCTTATATAGGTGTAGGAAGAAACTAGTTATAAAGGTCTAAATGGAAGGGAACACAATTGCCAAGAATGAATAATCACAGTCCAGCCTTGCAGCCAGTCCAGTTGGAAATCAAGCTGAGATGCTCTCAGTACGATACCTACTACCACTCCACATTCCTTACCAGAGAATGATAGCCCTACAGGACAGTGATGCAGATCCATATTACAAGCTCACAGGCATGCAATACGGAACCTTCTCCCAGAAGGTCTTCTGAACATTATTCCGCATAAATGACACTGACACTGAATCTTTACAGGAGCCTGATACTGCTCTGTTGTTTGTCCAGCCTCCCAGGAAGATTCCTTAATTTATCCTCTAATTTAATACCAATACCACTCAGAATTTCTGGCCATTCTGAATATGTGCAACTGAGCATCAATACAGGTCTTGGGGAGGACCACAGTCTGTCTTTTTTTAATTTAGAAGCCAAAGTCATGTAGTTTTGAAGAGATGGAAGCAACTCAAAAATACTTTTAGTGACCAGAAAAATTAACAGTGGATAATACTCAAGAGGAGTAATCAGAATGACATAAATAACACGTTAACAACTAATACAATGCTTTGAATACACTTATCCACTTACCAATTTATCCTTTAATTTTAAGACTAGATCCACAGTTTCAACTTCAGTGTGTTTCTGACTCCAGAAAAGTAAATCCTATCAAAATTTTTAAAAATTATTTAAAATTAGATAATTAGATTCATAAAACATTGTCAGGGCACAAAAAGGCAGAACACAAAACACATAATTATTGCATCTTCATGGAATGCCTTAAATACACACTATTACTTCAGTACATTTTTAAAAACAACAGTTAACATGGTATGTCTAAAAGTCTGTGTGTCCACTGGATCGCTAATCATTTTACCTACATTACAGGCATTTACAGATTTCATGAATATTTATTCCAACTTCACAGAATGGCAATACCTGCAACCAAGCCAACCAAACTACAATAGTGGCAAGCTTCTGAGTTCTCCAAAGCTCTTCATCAGTATAAGTTGGGGTGTAGAATTTGTGCCCTTCCAGATGTTTTGGCTGTGATAGCTAGGGCTGATTTGACAGGAACTGAAGCTAAAAAACTGGGGAGCCACAAGTTGCCATCCTTGATCCAGGTGGTTCAAAAAGCAGGTGGGGAAGAACAAAAAAGTCTACAAAATTAGGCCATGAGTTCTGCATTTTACATCCAGTCTCAAGATGAAGACTGTACAATGAATTAGTTAGTTACAGCAAGGTGTGGCAGGTATTGGCTGACCCTTAAAATGGAGAGTTCCTGTTCAGGTGGTATCTGCCAATACTTCCTTTGTTTTTATGTGCCTTGCAGAGCACCATATTTAGCCAGTCAGGTGGAATCTACCACTAGCAACACTGTAAATAATACAAGCTAGAACTGAAGACACCTGTGAAAGGCTTTCATGCATAGAACAAGGGAGGAGGCTGACACAAGCACATTCCTATATTTTGTTTGGATATGGAGTGCCATTAACTTTCTGAAATCTCCCTCTCTTTCTCTTAGTATGTAAAGCTACCACCAGGAATTTTATTCCAATCTAATTAACTTCTCCCACAGTATTCACCCCAACCTATAAGGCTCTTCATTGGACTATGTGGTCCTGAGGATCAGTCTGTGGTATTCCAACAGCCTATGACTCTGAGTTAACAATAAACAAAATAAATTGTATTTCTACAATAAACAAGATGTTCAAGTAACTCCTTAATGAACAATGTATAATAATCTTTGACTGAGATAGGTTACTCTTTGTCTTCACAAACACTCCTCACACACAGATCTCCCTTTCTCTCCTGCACTCAGGTTTCTGTCAGTTTCTCTCTCACACACGCCCTTAAAATACTTGACAATATGAGGTTCTGACTCCCCCTAGTCACTAATATGTCCTCCAGGTGTTCTACTTCCTTCTTTAGAATCTTAAATGCTTTTTACAGCCCTCTGTAGGATTCGAATGAGAAGGCTGCCTCTTCAAATTCTGCAGACTGCTGACAGCTTTCTATTTCTCTCCCCTCACACACTTTCAAGCTCTGCCCACACACTCTCAGTCAACAACCAATGACCTCACTCACTTAATCCCTTTCTTTTACCCCCCTTATCCCTCTGAATCTTACCAATATGTAAAGGAACACAAGCATAACACTTTAAAATGTTTTGCCTTCCAGAGGCAGCCCCTACATTTAATGCAGTGCTGCTCCAAAGATCCCTTGGCAGATTTTCAGGGGGCATAAGAAACTGCAGGTGGAAGGTAGGGACTGATGAGATCCAGTGTGCACATAGAGGACTCTGCATGGCTCTCTGGATCCTGGGCTTTAACACTCACTTTATAGGCACATTTATATTTTCCTGTAAGATTGTCCCTAGCCATGCAAGTTAGATGCTGTTTCCGAGTACAGATTGTGCTTTGTTTTTAAAATACCCATGCAGGGGGCAAGGAAGGAAAAGGTTAATGGAAAGCCGGTTCTCTCACCTCCTCACATAATGCTTCCAAATGCAATGCCTCCAGCTTCTGTGTCATTTCTTTCCGCCGTGTCCTGAACCAGCCATCAAAGTTATACGATTTCAAAAAATGCCTTTGAGACAAAGAAAAAATTAGTGTTATTAGCAGGGTGTTCTGTACATCCAAGTTAAGGAAATTGTCTGCTTTCTAAGCAAAACTCATTTAAAACCATAACCAATACTGACTGTGGGGAACGCTGGACAGCCCTCTGACAACTGTCTGTAAAAACCTCTTGTAAACATGTCTATTTCCTCTCCTGACAATAGCTCATTATGAGCTAGTCAACTGTTTAAAACAAGATACCAATGTGCTGATTTGTTACTTCCAGTGTTAGTTCATCTTCTCGGAGAAGAATGGATTGATTCATACCCAAGCTTTCACTACCTGTACATTGCAGAGAGGCTTTGAGTTTAAATGGAAACTTTATAACTGGCCACTAATGTAAGATGCGCATGAAACCATCAGCCCCAGGTATTGGTACAGGTGCAATGTTTAAACCTCAGGTCAAACATGGACTCACCAGATTTTCTTTGCAAAAGCTCTTACGGGCCCCATACCCCAACCTTAAAGTAGGAACAGTCAAAAGCCTACCTCATGGGGCTGTGCAGAGGATGAGTGACTTGACTTAGCAGTTTTAAAGCACAGCATACTGTAAAATGCACTGTCACACTATTTACATGTTAAGTAACAATGAAATGCACTTTATAACACATATGACATAAATTGATAAATTTCTGAAACCTAGGAAGAACTACTGATAGTATTTGTAAAATATTTCATTTAGTGCAAGAGGCAAGATTTCCTTCCATTTCCAAGACACTTTTTTAATGTAACTGATTTGAATCTAGCTCAGGCTGTGTTCTGTGTTTCACTCAGTATAACAAAGTTACCTGTACAGTCCTATCCAGTCTCCTTTTATCCTGGACGTAAGCTGAGGCCCTGCTTTCTCAAGTGTTTTCATAAATTCCTCTTGGCTGAATGGTTTCAACTGTGGTGGACTCTACAAAGCAAACACAGCTCCAAGTGATCAGAGCACACAACTGTAGCTATGCACAAATGCAATGTTAATCTTCTAAAGATATTCTCACCTTCCAAGGTGATATGCTTTTTTGCAAAGGCATCAAACTTGCTACATATCGTTCCTGAAAAAGAACAGCAGTGCAAAATGTAATTCCTGATGTTTGAATTCTATCTTGGATAGATTCAACATTATGTTTCATTTGCTTCAAAGTATCTAAAAATAAGCCAGATAGAAAAGCTAATAGATGGCATATCACTGGTCAACAGTCAGATATCTTGGGGACAAATCTATCCTTTGAAAGGGTAACATCTGGGTCACCGTAACCCATCCAAGTTCTTGCCTTTCTTACCCGCTCCTCCTTTTAATTCAGACTTGTGTAAACAAATGGGAGGAACTATTATGTAAATTTGCAACATTAAATCTAAAGTTGGTCCTTCTTAAAGTAGACCCATTAAAATCTTGGAGTTAAGTTAGTCATGTCTAACTTGATTTCAATGAGTTGACCCTAACAAAGACTACCTTGGATTTAACCCTCAGATACTGCTATGGATACCTTTGGTAACAAGGTAAAAGGAAAACAAGGGTAGAAACCAGTTCCACTATTGGTGACTGGCAGGAGGGCCAAATCTATCTAGTTGCACTCTGGGTTAGAGTGAACTTACTCAAAACACAATACTTCATTGCTGAGTTTATGTTTTTAAGGATAACATACTAATCTCCAGATTTTTCCAGTGTTAGCTAAAATAAGGCAAAATTTGCAACTACATTAGTTACTATAAACAGCTTTACTGACAGTCACAGAAGCAAAACTGAAAATTGTATAAAAAGAGAGTCTATCCACACAGGAAAAGGTTGGATGTAAAAGTTCCTCTGAAGTGGGTTGAAATTCCTTAAAAAGGAATATTGCCTTAATCACTCCATCAGCAAATTCCATGCTCATTTACCTGGAAATAAGCTTCACTGGACATAGGGGATCTTACTTCTAAAGAAACATACACAGGATTGTACTGCTGTTTACAAGTTGCCCTACAAAATGTTAAAATCAAATATAAACTTATATAAATATAAGCTTATATAAACTACTTTGGTGGTGGTAGGGTGTTCATGCTCAAACTAGGATTATGAGCAAACCCCCCACTATACAATATTGATGGTGAAACAGATTATTCCCATTTAAGAAAAAAATATTTTAAAATATTTCTGACTACTATACAAACTGTGAAGGTGGCCTCATAATCTGGCTGAAGAACTCAGTATAAATCTTTGTCTTTACCCTCAGCTTCTAACAGTGCCATCCTATGCAATAGAAGCTTCACTGTATTCAGTAAGACAGACTTATTTTCAGGAAAGTGTGTATACAATTGCACTGGAATATTTAATTATACATATCTACAACTTTCATTGATCAATAGAGACATGTCAGCTTACTAGAGGAATAATGAAGCTTTGAGTCAGTTCCAAGAAATAACGCCGAAGAATTATATTTTGGGCTTCTGCAGGACGTTTCTGCTGTACTCCCTGAAAAAAGGCAATTGAAGCAGTCCACTTTCTCAGTGTTTGGAAGGCAATATGCTATAGTCTTACTAGACAGACACTAACGTTTAATAGATACTAAATTAAGAACGGTGAAATTATACTACTGTTTTACATATTTTACAATCTTTGTAACATTTCATTTAAGCCATGAAATAATTAGAAACAGCGAGTCAGAAGGGGTCTCCTGGGCCATCTAGTCTGGCCCCCGGCTCCAGCCAGCTCTGCTCATGACATGCCCACCATGTGCCAGCCTATCCTTGAACACCCTCACCAATGGGGCTTCAACCAGTTCCCTAAGATGTTAAGTTTGTTCCAGCAAAAACACTGATTGGGCTTGCAAAACACTTCCAGCCATAGTTGTTTATAAGACATTGTGGTTTACCGTGTTGTCTGAACCCAGCACTCCATCAGTGACCCTGGGGATTGTAGTAGGATCTAATAAACCCACTATGGGCTATTGTGTTCTCCAAACCCAGATAAAAAATAAACTGTGGTTGAATCAAAAAAGCAGACCGCCCCTTAGCAGGAGTGGCAGAAAGGAGTGGTCTCCCTTTCTGAGGCACCCCAAAAAGCCAAAGCAGCCCTTGGGGCCAATTGGGAAAGGCTTCCTGCCCTACCTGCTAATAGTGGGGAGGGGGCATTTCAAAACCTGGGAAAACTGGGGGGGGGGCAGACTTCTTATTTGAATCACAAGCCTCACCCACCCCAACTGGTGTTTCCCTCAGGTCTTGCCACTTCCCTACCTGTCCACTAGGACAAAACTGCAGGCACAGCTAGGACTTCAGTGCACCCTTTACAAATTTAGGGACCCTGGGAACCTATATGGAATTGGGAAGAACTGAGGGGGAGTAAAACACTCTTTTTGCATGTTCTTGAGGGTTTTTAAGGGGGCGTTTGTGCATTTCTGTTAACCACACTTGGGGAAATGAGGGCAGCCCAGGGCCACATCAGCACTCCCAGAAAACCCTACTGATTCTGCTGCATAGGGTGCTCCCCTGCCCTCAACACATACACACCCTGGAGAAAAAGAGTTACCAGTGGGCTGCTAAGATTTCCTGGACACGGTATATGTGCCAAAGTGCAACAGTGGAACCTTCAAGGCTATCAGAATAAAGACTGTCTGACTACATCTGTTGATCTTTAATATGCCACAAAACTCTTTTTGATGTACTGAGGGGAAAAAGGTCTGCCCCCACTTCAACAAACTGCCCCACCTGCATTGCAAGGCAGATTACTCTTTCTGTAGCTCTTTCTTGTGCACATTTAGATTACAGAAGGGGTGCTTCTGTAGATGTACAGAAGGGGTGGGGAATTCTGGAGAACAGGCACTTCACAGAAAAGTAGAAGACTGTAAAAAATATTGCATTTAAGAAAAGGGATTAAATTGTGTCTTTTTAAAGATACACATGCCCCTTACTTTCATGGCTCTGCCCAAGATCTATTAATGTTATTGGCTACAAGTCTGAAATGTTACCTTCTGTAACAGTTTTATTATCTCTTCATCTTTGTTCAAGTATGGCTTATAAGATGTATAAACACCTGGGGGTTGGAAAACAGAATTTTCATTTGGTTTTCAGCCATACAAGTATACAGTAAGTATTAAGTTTATAATGATAAAATGTATTACCTGGCTTAGAATCCAAAGTTTTTAAGTTCTTCAGCTTTTTCACTTTCACCTGCTTTGGAACTTCACCTGCCCAAATAAGTAAATGGTCGCCATGTCAGCCTCTAAGTCAAATGCCAGGATCTTGAGGGCCTGGCCAAGGCAAGTTCTTAAAGTTGCTTGGCCATACAAAAGGGGACTTTGCCAGCTGGTGACTTCTGAATGCAGTGCCACTCAATGCTGAGCCTGATTCAGGGGTCTCCAATATTTTTGGTTAGTGCCAATTAACTTTACTGGTAAGATGGGCTAAAGGTCTCCAGTGAAGAAGTACTTCAGTGGGACATTCAGCCTCCTTATGCAATGATATCATTTCGATCCCACTGAATAAACAAAGGTCTCAGGGCAGTCTACAATTCCATACCTCAGTGCAGAATTCCACTTGTGGGTGTAGCATTCCTCTTTCAACACCAGAGCATATGCTTTGTATCCACAGGCACAACCCCTGGGATCCTTCAGTATAAAGATCCAAGGTAGCTGGAATGGTCTGGGAATAATCTCTGCCCTAAAGCTTGGAGCACTGCTGCCAGTCCAAATAGACTGGCCTTACCCAGCCAGGCTTATTATTTTCTCAATAAAAACAGAAATAAGAGCAACAGTTGCACAGCAGCCGACTACAACTCTCATCATCTTCAGACACTGTGGCTGCTCTTGACTGGGGATGATGGAAGTTATGGCTTAACAGATCTGGAGAGCTCTAAACTAGAGAAGCCTGGAGTAGGTGGAGGCATGGTCTCACCAGATCCATATGTGGAGGCAATCGCTCCTGTTGACTGTCCACAGGGGTCAGCACAGTGGGAACAAGAACCACCATGATTCTACTTGCTATTAGGGAAAGGCTGGGAATTTGAGAGCACTTTTCCATTCCAGGATACACATCTTGCCTGGCTGACCATGACCTGACTGCCTCCTTTCTTCCTCTATGCATGTATGAAAGCTTCCATTCTGGGGATGATCAGGAAACCCTACATGCCACATCTCCACTGCTTATGCCCCCCTCACTCTTCTGGTGGTAGCAGAAACTGTGGAATCCAACCAAACAAGTTGCTCTCATGTTAATGAAAGAGCAAAGGGAAAGCGGCAGGCCTGAACAGTGAGCAAGAGGGGGAAGCTGATGTGGACAGCTTGGCATCCATCACCTCTCTGCCTTGAACAGATTTGATTCCTGTTTGAATGGGTTTGTAGGCTTCTTGCTGTGACCAAGACACGTTGGCTTTTTAAAGGCCAGCTCAATACAAATCAGTAAGTAGCCACACTGTATAAAAGCTGAAACTCTTCATATTCTGTTTGAGGCATTTTGTAAATATATACTCTTTTACATAGCAAAGACTATGGTCTAACGGAAGAGAATTTAACTTCTTACATTTTGTTCAATTTCATTTGATTTCCTATTCAACTCATGATACATACCAGCAAATTGACTATATTGGTCTGATCTGAGTTCAATCTTTTCAACATTTATTCTATAAAGTGATCCAAGTCAGCTAGAGATATAAAGTCAAGCTACTGTTTTCATACCTCAAAACTCAAGCACTACCTCTATCTTGAGCCTAACTTCCCTATTGTTACTTATTTTGTTGACATGAGGGTATCTGAAGGAGAAAAGGTAGTAAGTTAGTAATATTCTGCATGCATTAGAACAAAATAAATACTTTACCTGACAGTTTAATGTCTCCTATTCGGATGATGTGTGGCCAGTGCTGCAGCGTTTTCGCAAAAAATGGATTTGTTACTCCTAATATGACAGAAGGCCTGAAATGTAGAAAATTCCTCAGTGAAATCAATACCCTCACCATAAATTCAACCTTAGCAAATTTCAGAGGAGCAGCTGTGTCACACTGTCCAGAAAACACACAGAGACTTGGGACACAATGAGGACTAGGACTTGCACCCATACTAGCCCCTCTCCAAATAGAAGGGCTCCTATTGCTCATGTAATGGGGCTGCAATCCAGCAGAGGCTTCTTTTCACAGAAGATGATTTCTGCCTTCTCACACAGGTACCGACATGCTCAGGCCCATAGCACAGCTTTGTATATGTTAACTAACGTAAGTTCTTAAGTTTGTTTGTGTATCTTTTAAGGACATCCCTATTTGTGGAAAGGGATGAATGGTCAGGAGAGAGGAGAGCATCTGACCTCATAAAAACATTTTGGCCAGAAAGATTCAGGGAAGGAATGTGGCAGAAGGTGAAGTACATGTGGGCCAGCTAATCCAGGGGGATCAGATGCAACGTAGACCATCAGATGCAACATAGACCACCATACTTTAATTTTGGCAAGTACCCATGGACAGCAAGGTCGGGGGCAGAGGGCCTTCCAGAGATTTGGGACTCCTGCCTTATGAGCCATCTCTTACGCTGCCTCCATTTCAGCACAATATTCCACTCTGTTCCAGAACACCCCGCAACTTTCTGAAGCCGATTTTCAAAGCACACAGGGGAAACTAGGATTATCTTCCCCCTGCAAGTGGAACCACACTCATGGGATCTCTGGATCCAATCCTTTAATGGGGTAGGGCAACAGCTGTGCCCCATGCTAGTAACCCTTTGCCTCCAAACATGCTTCTAGCTCTTCCAGAGATAAACCCTGTCAGTGACAATACTCTCTTCATTTGCAACTAGGATGGGTCAGGATCAGCCAAGCCGAGTTTGATTTACAGGGAAAGGGACAGATGGAGGCTGCCAGAAGCAGAGAAAGCCTTAATCAACTGCTCAAACAAGGACGACAGCAGAGAACCCCCAGGAATTGTTAAGACAGAGGTATAAACCTCCCTCTCTCCCAGGGAGAGATTGTCAGGATCAGAACCTTGCAAATAGAATCAGGAATGCCGATTCAGGTCCTTGCAGGGAACAGCTGTGTGGCAATTATGCAGTACATAAAAGGCCGCACTAAACTGCTGCTCCTGGCCACAGCAATGAGAACTATCCTGGAGACTATCTTGTACTTCAGCTTCCAGCTTTGCCTTGACCGGAGACCTTGTTCTTGCCTGCCTCCTGCCCAGCTCCAGCCTGTTCCTGCTTCCATCCTTGTCTCCAGCCCAACCCTACCAGTTACCTGTATCCACCCTCCTTGACCATGCCTTGCTCCTGGAAATGACTGTCTTTCCAGCACCTGACCTTTGAACTATACTCTTAGACTGTGTATTTGCCTCAAAGCCTTTTATCACCAAGAAGGGTTTCCTTTAAAAATTACATGGAAGAACAGGACCCCTTAGATTTTACCTCTTGTGCCATTATCCAGAGCTGGACTTTTGATGAACCTCCCCCCCCCACCAAGTTATTCCCACTAATAAATGAATATTAAGTTGGAAGCCCAACACAGCAGGACCCCATGGAACTGGCTGTCCTCCCAGGAACAGGCAAGTGTCTGTTTCAAAACTCTGGTCCTTCCTGTGGCTTAACCCCAGAGGGATCCTGCTCCACCCCACCAGACTATTCATGGTTGAGAGTCAGTACCACCAGATACACGTAGTGTTAGCTTCAGCCTGCAGATCCTGACAATTACTGCCATGTTGAATGATTCCTGTACTGATCCTGCGCACATTAAAACTTTGCAAAGAGAAGTCACAAGATGCATCTTTTATTTTTCATGGCCTTTTGGCCCAATTATTTGGCTTCCCACCTTCAATAGCCATATGTACAGGCCTACAAAATAATGGTAACATCAAACAGATGAAAAGGCTGTACTCCCAAAGCTTGTGCTACAATACAGGTGTCACAATATTTTAATTTCTGTTTAAAGTTACCAACAATCTAGAATTCTCAGTGCATTTAAATATACTTCCAAACAACAACAAAAAAGGCTAAAAAGTATATAGTTCTTCTCCATTTTGTGATTAGTTATTTAAGTAGGAGAAGCTGAAATAGTGAAGTGGACCAGTGAGACTTCATGATGAGTAACTAACTTTATGTTAAGGAAAGTACCACTAACAGCTCTGCTGGGGAAAAACAGTCTAGAAAAAGCTAAACCAAGCACAAAGAAGAACTATACAAGAATAGATAAACCTGTCTCGCAAAAAGAAGGGAAACTGTCATATTTTCTTTGTTAAACCCACCAAGTTGGCTACTGTTGCTACCAAGTTTTTACTGCTTTAGTTTTGAAATAAATAATAAAATGCATACACCATTTGACTTGGCATGTCTGTTAAGTAACACCAAGAATCAAACTACTTTTCATAAACCAGTTTAAAAGCTTCCTTAATGTCCAGGCAGAGGTATAATATAGATATACAAGATCTGGAGGAGGTCTGTGGTTGGGAAACATACACGCACATACATAAAATACCCAAGGTACATAACTGATCAAACTGCAAAATGTTCTTATAAATATACAGATAAAATATTTTTTCTCACCTTAACGTTAGCTTACACTGACAACTAATGCTCCTTGATTTATGGAGCCCTTAATTTAAGTATCTTTTTGGATACTTTACAATGAACTCTTTAAACAGGGCAGCAAGTAATTCCAAATTCAAGTAAAACTATCCCTGGAATAAGATGCTTGTGGAAGGAAATACTTTGCACTGGAAGATTCTCTTTCACAACAGGGAGGCTCAGACATAAAAATAAAATATTCCACAAAGTGGGTTACCAGCAATGTTTAAAACAGCATAATGTTAAATCATTAGTTTCCTGATCTCCTTCATTCACACAATAAGCCATCATTCCAACATTGCTTTGTTTCTATGGAACTGATAAAATGAAAGAGTTTTGTTTCTAAAAATATCTTGCTCATAAATATGGCTTCCATGTTCGGCTATTTCCCCCCACTAAGATCTTTGTAATTCAAATTGATGTCATTTCAGCATAAGTTGCTACTGGCTTTTAATGCAGAACCCAACAGAAAAAATACGAACAAAGGCTTAACTATCAGTATTTATAGTAAAGAAATACTGTGAGCAACTTTTTTTTTTGCATTTTATTGGAAATAGCTGCATTTTGATTCAAAAGTAACTGGAAATATTGGAGAAAGAGTGCTCATGCACGATTATTCCCATTTAAAACCAATTTAAATGCTTTAAGCTCAACAATTTGGCTAGACATAATTAGAATACTGATATATTATTACAGATTCTTACTAGAGTTAAGCATTTTTTTATTCTGAGTAGATAAAGGATTTCATAACAGCCTTGAACACAGGATCTCTTATTTTAAGTTTATGTTACATGTACTGGAGATAATACGGTATCAAGACATCAGCTGCTTTCTATTTCCTGTCTCCGAGTACTAAACTTCATTAAAATAGTTGTTTATGCACCGCATGGTTGCAAAACTAAACAACTGGATCTTTTGTTAAGATGTCCTAAACTGAGGTCCCTAGTCTTCACTTAATCCATAAAGCAACAGTCCCTGAGTGAGACTTATTTCTGAGTAGGCACGGATAGGATCACCCCTTAGGAAAGAATCATGATGGAAGAATTACTCTGGACACCAACATTTATAACTGTAAATCATTTTACTTACGGGGTCTGTGTGCGGGTGGTGTATTCTTTGAATTCACTGTCATGTATTGTAAAATAAGGCCTAAAATCACTGTAGTACTTCAGAGGCGAGATACAGCTGTGAAACGAACACACACAACATTAAAATAATGTGTGCGTGTGTGCTACATGCTTACTCAGTCAATTACTGTTTGATCTAGATAAATTCTACTGTATTTTTGATATTTTATTCTGTCTTTTAAAATACATGAACTGTTAATCCCTTCCTGGATACTAATAGCACGCACATTCTCTGAATGAGAACCCTTGAGTAGCCTCAGTGGCAGTAGCCATGCATGACAGAGAGCTATTAGTTGGCGGGCTGGCTGGGGTGGGGGCGGTGGGCTGCAGTAGAAAACTGAAGGGACATGGAATGGAACAGCATGGCTGGCTGGTTGAAATTCTGAGCAAAATTGACTCAAGACGATTTTCAGTCTCTGAATTCAGAGGCAGACAACAATCCAACGCAGAACTTGCAGTGTGGCGGGAGCAACTGTGGCCTCCCAGCTCCTTCTGCTCAGCCTTTTCAGCTTTCTAGACAAGGTGCTTTGGAGAGGGAGGGAAGCAGACAGGACAAGATACACCTTCTCCACAGGCTCCTCCCCTCCCTGCCTACTAAGCGCCACCTCTACGCCCCCTCTGGCCTTAGAAAGGCAGTTTCCAGCCCTGAAAAGGCAGCACGCACAGTTCCTTCCACACTGGCTGCAAAGGGGTTCAGGGCATGCATTCCCAGCCTCAGGGTCAGTGCCCTGCCTCCTTCTTACCATGGATCTGGGAATCCAGAGTATAACAGGAAGATCTAGTCTGTGACATTCAACAGGTGGGCCTGAGCCTCGGAACCTTCAGACCATCATCAAAAAAATTCATTTATAAGTGCTGAGCTTACCTACATGTTTAAATTCTTCCTCAGTTCTGTATGTGTTTAATGCAAACCAAGGGCCTGCACATTCTGCAATGGCCTTCACATTGTGATTCATGGTGAGATCACAGTTGTGAGGTTTTTTTTAGACTCCTCCATATGTTTACCTTACAAGTGCCAGCACAGTTTCTGAAGACTCTGATGGAGATGGCGCCATGACAACAAGCGGTTCCCCTAACAACACTAGCTCCCATAGCATCTGGATATGAAAGAAGACTGGCAAGAAACATCTGAAACAGATTTACAAGAACAGGAATTGTTGTTGTTGTTGTTTATTTGCTTTCTCTCCTTTACATATAGTAGAGTGAATAGGAGAAAAAATGGAGAACAAAGACAGAATGGTAAAAAAATGCAACTGAAAATTTACCTTGACTCATACCAGCTTGAAAGTCTAAGATATGCATGACGATTGAACCACTGTGAAGGGTAAAGAGGCTGGGACAGAAAAGCTGTGGAGATAAAGTGTGGGTAGAACTACAGCCAGATGCCACACAATATCCAGCTCTCCAACTGTGGCCAAGCCCTGGGGATGCAATGTCCACAGATATAATGGCTGGGTTCAGACTATACAGTAACCCACATTCAAGGGTTGAGGATGGGTTGTCATCAAGCCCTGGGTTGTTATTGTGTTGTCTCACCCCAGCTGAGATAACCAATCATGGTCAACATTTCACAACCTACATAACAACAAACCATGGCTTCTCTTCATGGGCAGTCAATGGTTAATAAACCATTGTTTGTTGGCACAGCTGTGTTCAAATAACATGATAATCCACCTTTCAATTACAACCCATGTTTGACCCATTTACACCTCTTGGCTGTGGATTATTATGTTATCGGAATCCAGTCACTTACATTACTATGTGGCATTGTAAAGAAAGAAGATTCTAAGAGCACTGCCCAGCAATCTAGGGGGATGGACTAGAGGCAAGAAGAGAGGTCAAGCACAGTGCAGTCTCTGAATCCTGAATTTCTCTTTAGGAACTCTACTCAGAGATAATATCTCTCTCACATTAAGGAAGCAACAGAAACTTGCAAGAGGTGCTTATTTCCAATTACTGCATGTTGGCATTTCATTAACCTGCCAACTCAACAGAAGGAAGACAGATTACTGTCCCTTAAAAACAGTGGCCTGCAAACCTCCAGATGTTATCACTCCCCCCAGCCCTGGTTTTGGCCAAGGATGGGGAATTATGCAATTTGTAGCCCAGAACATCGGGAGGGCACCACGTTGCTTACTTCAACAAAACAGCCCATCTTAGACATTTCACAGGAGTCAGGGATTGCCAGCAAATGGATTACGCCATTTACTAGTCAGGCATAATCCTTTGCATGTTTAGTCAGAAAAATATTCCAGCATGGCTGGGGAACGCAATCCTAGATATTTTTTTCAGTCTAAACACGTCTTAAAATACTCTCCTTCGGGAACGCTCTTTGATAGGATGAGTCAACTTCAGGACTTCAAAGCTTTTGTTTTTACCTGAAGAGGTCTACTTCATGGACAGTAGGCAAAGCAAGGGAGACCTGTGTATCCGTCTAAAAAACAAACCAAAAAAGCGTTTGCTCAGAGTGGGGCCAAACAGTGGACTAAAAACTTGTGTATACCATGTTGAATAGAAGAAAGACCTGCATCTGCTGGTAGATCCCTGTGTAAGTTGAAGCAGAACGAAAAAGATTGTGAGGTTATTGGGGCCGCACAGGAATGGAGGAGTTAGTTGGCTCCTGCCCGCTCACCTCTCCTGCTTTGCATTTGCTTTCATCAACAATCTAGAAATGCCATGGTTTGTTGTTGGGTAAAGACTCTGGGTTTTTTGTTCCTCAAATACCCAGAATTGTGGGTTCATGTACTGTATCACACTACTGATGAAAAGGGATTCCAGAATTGCTGCTAAAGCAAATGTAAAGCAAAAGCAGAAAACACATAAAAAGGCAGAGTACTTAGTTTAATACAATCCCACCAATTAAGCGGTCTTTGAATTAGCTTTGCACGCAGTCCAGGTCAGTGACTCTTTCCCGCCCCAACTTCCAAACCTGTATTGCCAAAATAAAAGGACTATAGTTTCCATTTCGTTCTGGGACTCATTAAAAATTCCTGGGCAGAGAGGGGATACATTTTTCTCAGAGAGTGGGCATATTTTGGAGGGCAGAAAGGGGAGGAGACCAGAAATGCTAGGATATGATTTATCATAGACCTCCTCTAGCTTCCTTCTCTCTTCCTCAGAAGCACCCTTACTAGATGAGCAGAACAGGATGTCCAGTGGGAGGAAAAATCAAAGACTGGAGGTCAGAAAGGCAAAAGTTACTTCGGCTGCTCCTTCTACCCTGTTGGCTTCAGTCTGGTAGGGCAGAGGAATCTCAGAAGCTTCTGAATTTGGGAGCTTCCAAATAGTAAGGGTGCAGTTCAATATGACTGCACTCTTAAAGAGGGCAGAGGATTCAGGAGACAAGCTATAGCTAAACGTTGCTGGCTGGACTTATGAATTGGTGTAAATAACTGTTTAGGGATCCTGAAGTTGCTTGCTGCTGACACCTCAAGCATTCTGTTCATTACTGAACAGAACAAGTACTTATGGTAAAGAATATAAGCAGCATTTAATGTAATTTATCGCTGCAAAAATGTTTGCACACACTTTCATGCCCCATTACTCTTTCTATTTTACAAAAAATGCTCCCCCAGAGTTGGGATTGCAGACTTGCAAGTCTGGAAATGTAATCTGAAAGTCAGCTGATTGTTTTAAGGGAGTAATCAAGTGGCTGGTGAATTACCTGATGTGTTGATTGTAATACTTGGGTTGTTCCAGGCTTGTCATGACATGTAGGAATCCGCACCTTTGCAAAGAGACATAATTTAAATGTTATTCAGAATGCTAATAACTTGTAATAGCCTTAACATCATTTAATAAATTAGAGATGTTAACCACTTTTGAAAGCAGTAATATACTAGCTCTTCAACAGTGCAAATGCATTGCTCTAAATTGTGTGGGGAAACTATGGCTCGTCAGATGTCCTGAGATCTACAACTCCCAACATCCACGAACACAACAATACTTGAAGAACCATATATTCCACTTGCTTGCTGTAAATGGTTCTTCCTTAAAAGCATTTTTTTAAACTACTACATTGTTTTAAAGATCTCATTCCTTAAGATGCAATCATGTTTAGCCAGAAAAAGCCCCTACAAGGCAACTTTTTCTGGCTAAACATGCACAGGATTTCAGTCTTAATATCCTAGCCTATAAGCAATAGCCCTGTGAAGAATCTGAAGTCTTCACAGAAACCATCAATTCATAAAAACTCCAGAACACAGACTGAAACAGCTGTGAATTCATGAGTACAATTATGGGACTGATCCAGATCCAGATTTAAACGTACAAAGCACAAATTTCAGGCTTTTCCAGTTTAACCAAATTCACAAGTGGCCATTTTCAGTTGGCCCAATTTGTTTAACTTACAAATCTAAACAGAAAAACATAAATTTATAAAATACTTTGTTGCTGTAGAATGTTCATAGATCCTTTCTCTCCTTCCTCTTACCTCTCATGACAGCCTTACAAATATGAAAATAAATACCTTCATTACAATGCCCATAATAGGCAAATGAAGTGTTTTCCCTGGGACTGGAGGGGGCCATCGATCAACATCACTACAAGCTGAAAAACATAATAACCAAGCAGTCACTTTTGACAGTCAATTAAATTATAACAGTGCCTCCTAAAATCAATGATTAAGGAGATTCTCTAACAAAAATTAATAAATTCTGATCCATCTAACACAGGGGTGTCCAAACTTTTTGCAAGGAGGGCCAGATTTGGTGAGGTGAAAATGTGTGGGGGCCGACCATTCAGCCTGACATTCTTTGAAGCATTAACATTAAATGCAAATGAACTATTTTATGAAACACTAAACAAATAACTTAACTGCACTAATGTGAAGGGTGATACTGAGATCTCGATTGCATTATATAGGCCAGGTCTGGCTCAAAAACAGTGGTTTTGATGCGCAAGATGTCACGCAGGTGAAAGTCACTTAGTCTTGTCCTCACGTGGTTCTTGTTAATGTTCATAACCGAGCATGTCTTCTCGCACAAGTATGTCAAACCAAACAAGCTCAGCATTTTCTTAGCAAATGTTCAAATCTCTTGGAACCTGTCTTTATCCAGCTGGTGGTAAAAGTTGACAAGAGCGAGCTGTTGGTGCCGACTGCGACACTCGGTGTCACACTGCAGCTCAATGAGCTCCAGGTGCAGGGGGCCTGGAGCGTCATCAGGGTCCAGAGAAAGGAGATGAAAAAAGCATGATCTCCTTTTCAATAGCTGCAAAATCCCGAAAGTGCTGTTGAAACTCCTCAGCCAGAGATGAGATGTCTGCTTCATACCTCCTTATTTGCACACTCATATTGTTCTGTGGAAAACTGGTCATTCTGCATCAATCCTGCAGCGATGGGAAATGTGTGGTATTGGGCTGCGTTTGTGACAGGTGCCTTTGGAAAAGTAGCAGCTTGGTCCCAAAGGCTTTGATATGTGAATACAGTTGGCTTA